CTCATTGTAATGAGAATTAATGTTGATGATGGTCTTTTAGTACTAGCCTTCTTACTAGTCAAATCAAATTATAATGCTTCATGAATGTGATTTCTTCAAACACAATATGAAACAATATCAATAATTCTAGCAAGACAAGAACAAAGTATTTGATAAAGATATGTTGGTCTTGTTCAAGGATGCAAATAAATTTTTCATAGGTTTCTCATTGGTATTATTTGAGGCAACTTTAAGAGAATTGTAAGGGGTGTTAAAGGACATGGGTGTCTATGACATTAAGTATCGGAAAATTACTAGGTAGATGGTAGTAATGAGGTGAATGCATTCAACCAATACACGAGAGGCATTAAAAAATTAGCCTAAGACACATACATGACTAATTGGCAGGGATATATTTTGAATCGTCATTTTAATTAAGCAATAAATCTTATTCAAAAAGTACAACTCAATTTGAAATTGAATTGCAATTTAGAATCGATTTGAGTTCTCACTCGTAAGTAGTAATAACCAGCTGATATAGGCTTGGAAGTTGAGTCGAATAAAAATATTTAACAAAGACTAATTCACAGGCTAGTGCTTGACGTGAAATAATTTAAGAAAAAAGGATTGTCATTTATTTATTTTATATGTGAATAAATAAATTTTTGTATATATAACATTAACTATATTTTCATTTTAAAAAATAATTGTAAGAAATGTGAGGGATCTCAGTCAAACTTTGATGTATGTATTGACAGAGTGTTTTTTATCAGCTGGAGAATGTATCGGACCAGAAATTTAAAAAAAAAAACATGAACAGCTTTTTGGTGTGACTGAAAGGGTTACTTACGCTTCCTTAGTTGGCCTTATCCCTTCCCCATGCACAAATTATTCGGCTACATGCACAAATTATTCGGCTAATCTTCTCATGATTACTAAATTTAAGGAAATGTAGGATGCCACTATTGCTTCTTCTAAGATTCAAATGGCCATCTTTATTACTTAAATATATCTTTTTATATAAGGGAGTTTTTTTTTTCTTAAACATGTACAGTAGTGTCAAAGAGATTTCTAATCTATTTTTCTCTAGTATGGATATAATAATTAGTATTACTTTGATATGTCGTGCCCTAGTAACAGTTCCTTCTAACAAATTTTGTTGTGGGGTGAGTTCTCTCGGGAGAGTTATTTTCTTAGGAGAACTATTCTAAGAGAGTTATGTTGGGATAGTTTTTCAGAGTTCTCCTGTGAGAGATGTTCCGAGATAGTTCTTTTAAGAGAGCTATTCTGAAAAAGTTATTATGGGAGAGCTATTTTCTTGGATGAGTTCAACTCTGGTAGGATGAACTCAGCTTTTTTTTTAGGGAACGAATTCAACTTTTAGACAAACTTAGTTGTTCTTCCATTGAATTCAGCTACTAGAAAAAATCAACTCCTCTGAGTTGTCAGGCGTGCATCCTAGATATAATTCACATCATCTATTATTTTTTTCAAAATGCAATTGAGAAAAAGAATAAAAGAATGACAAATATGAAACTATGCATTGTTTGTCTCCACAAGTTAAGCGTACGTTCTCTTGTCCAAAGAATGAATTTAATAGATGTGTTTTTTTTCTCTCTTAAATACGAGCGAAAAATATTTAAATAAAAATGAGTGATGTACTAAACTATGTGTTGACTATTCGTCTACTTGAGGAATCTTACCTCTCTTATAAGTAGTTATCTAGGGGCCTTTGGTTACATGATGCTCAAAATTGCTATGAAGTGATTGATCAACCCCATAAGTATACATAATGATCAAGTAATGTACGGATTATGTGTCCTCATATCGATCCCATGAGGAAATTTGTCAATTTTTCTAATAGGAGAAGTTGTAGCCTACTGTTCTCTAAAGTTCAGTTTGAAAGGTTCAAATCTGCATAATTGAAAGGTTCTAATATTCTAATGTAGAAAAAAGGAAACTACACTGTTTGTTGAAGTTTTTCAGTGGTGAAAGATTTATATACTCCCTTGACACTATTTTATTCCTCACTATTTCTTTCTAAGCATCAAATTGTTCAATACACTAAAATTTAGTTGCATGTTATTGAAGGAACTGAACACTATGGTGAAGCAAAGTGTCATTTGATTATATGGTTGAGAATTACTGACAAACAAATAATGATAAGTTCCTCGTCATGCTAAACAAGTCAAGTTAACAAGCAAATTTTAGAAAAACGCTTGTGTCATCCGCATCATGCTATCCCAGGCATTATATAAACATTATGGATGAGCTGGAAACAGATTTTGACTGAATTTGTGATATTTGAAAAATAGTAAATCTTAACAGATTAGTTTTTTTCTTAAATTTAATAAGCTTAGGCTCTTTTTATTTTACTTTGTTACTATTTTTTTAAAAAAAAAATTGTTATTTTTGGGCCCAATTATAATATGGACTCGACTATAGTTGATGTGTGCTAGAAAATTTACAACGGTAGAGTAATAGATTGTTATCTTGGCGTTGAACGTGAATTTGGGACACACTTAAATAAAAGAAAATAAATGGTAGAGACACTAGAAGTTCTTACGTTGAAAGCCAGCAAAGAGAAAAAATCATAGGGTCTGACCTAACCATAAATATCCACTTTAAGCTGATGATTACAGAGACTCTTGTCGCACAGACGAGAAAATGTTACAAAGTTTTATGAATTACAATGTCGACGTGCAGATGAATTTGTTGCAAGAAATGGAGGTCAATCGATGGTGATCTAATGATAATACTAATTTAGAGATGGCTCTTTTGAAATAGACATGATTTCAATTATAGAGGACCTAATCATCTTTTGTTATGTATATATTTATGAAGCAGCAATAATTTAAAAATCCCCTCATGGCATACCATGTGATGTTTATAAAATATATATATATATTGAAGATTATCAAATGATGTAAAAATGGAGTAACATGGCTGATTACAATGATTCTTTAAAGCACCTAATTTGTTAAATCTTATAATTTGGACGAGCTAATAAAAAATATAATCTTCCTTGATGATAGAATATAACTTTAATATGTACTGCTGAGAAAATAATAAATTAATAATGATAAAAGTATTAGATAATTCACTCTTATATAAGTAAGTCTATTGTAATTTATGAATAACAAGATCATCCTTCAAGATCTGGTCACCTTCTATTACATGCACCAACCAATTAAGTGAGTATGCATTATTTTAAAGTACGGCTGACAGAGACTTCTCATTTTATGATTTTTTTGTTTGTCACGTGGTTACCAGCTGCGGAATGTGCCGAGCCAAAAATAAAAACAAAACATGGACGGCTTTTACGGTGACTAAAAGGATAAATTTTTCCGATCACTATAAAAATATATTTCAGTGAGTCATATAAAATTATTTTTATAAAAAAAATTTAATCGTGATGATCGATGGTGAATATCGGACACCGCATACATCTCTGCATGCTGTGTCCGTATGGATTTATTTCTCGACTGAAAGGGTTACGCTTCCTTAGTTGGCCTGATCCATTCCACATGCACGAATTATTCGGCTAATCTTCTCATGATTACGAAATTTAAGGAGATGTAGGATGACACAATTGTTTCTTCTAAGATTTCAAATGGCCATCTTTATTACTTAAATATATCTAAGGGAGGTCTTTTTTTTTTTTAATGTACAGTAGTGTCAAAGTGATTTCTAATCTATTTTTCTCTATCTTTTCCAGTATAGATATTATAATTAATATTATCTTGATATGTCGTGCCCTAGTAACCGTCCCTTCTAACAAATATCGTTGTGGGTTGAGTTCTCTCGGTAGAGTTATTTTCTTAGGAAAAGTATTCTAAGAGAGTTCTCTGGGGATAGTTCTTTTAAGAGAGCTATTCTGAAATAGTTATTCTGGGAGAACTATTTTCTTGGATGAGTTCAACTCTGGTAGGACCAACTCAACCGTGTTTTGGAACAAATTCAACTGCTTAACAAACTTAGTTGTTCTTCTATTGAATTCAGCTACTAGAAAAAATCAACTCTTTTGAGTTGTCAGACGTGCATCCTATATATAATTCACATCTTCTATTAATTTTTTTCAAAATGCAATTGAGAAAAAAATAAAAGAATGATAAATATGAAACTATGCATTGTTTGTCTCAACAAGTTAAGCCTATATTGAATGAATTCAATATATGTGTTTTTTTCTTAAATACGAGTGAAAAGTATTTAAATAAAAATGAGTGATATTCTAAACTATGTGTTGGCTATTCTTCTACGTGAGGGCTCTTACCTCTCTTATAAGAAGTTATCTAGGGAAACTTTGGCTACATTATGCTCGAATTTGTTGTGAAGTCACCGTCAGCCGACAATGTCATAACTTGAAAAGTCTAGTAATTATTTCTCGTATGTGGGACAAGAGTTCATCACTACGGTTCATGTGTCAACAATGACTTACGCGGTCATTAGTTCATGCAGCTCCTGACTATGATGGCCCATGCGGCCTACGGACGTCCTTAATACTCGCCCCAATGTACTACGTGATTAACAGCTCGTGAAGCTCCCAACTCCTGCCCACTGCAGGCTACAGATGTCACTTATGCTCGCCCCAACTTCTGACTCCGACCCCTGTAGCCTACGGAACCCCCCAATACTCGCCCCAACGACCTACGTGATTCACAGCTTGTGCAGCTCCCGACTCCTGCCCTCTACGACATACAGACGTCATTTATACTCACCACTAGGGCATATGTGGTCCACATCCCCCACAACTGCTTACTACAGGTTCTCTAGCCGGTCAACATTTTTGGAGCAACCATTTACAACACTCACGACTGACCAAAAATAATATTTTAACAAAGATATCTTAAAGATACAAATAACATCTTAAATTTTAAAGTAATCCGCATTAATTAATCAAATGATATTGGACGGCCGCATTAATTAATCAAATAATATTACTCAACCTCTATAAAAAGATCTTGCAATTAATATTGATTATTTATTGATGCACGCCCATTAATAAGTGGCCGTCCAAGAATGGTATGGTAGCCTTGTAGAAACATTGGAAAGAAGCTGTAGCTGCTTTCCTCTACATTATCAATTATGGCGCTGTTCGTTAGCTTTCCTCTACGTCCATTCAGCAAGAAGCCATCGCTCCTGAGCTCTTCTTCCTCGCAGCGTCTTCTAAGTCACCGACGATTACTGGCAGATTTTCATCCCATATGTTGCCTCTCAACTGCTACTGCAGTATCATCTTCTCCAGCTCGCCGCACAGCAAATTATCAGCCAACTATTTGGGATGATAACTACATACAGTCGCTGCCAATTGATTTCATGGTGATGATTTGTCAACTAAAAACTCATTTTCTGTATTTTTAGCGGACTTAAGATTAATTTGCCTTGACTGTAAAATAAATCGCACGGATTTATTTTAATATTTTAATAATATATATATAAGCACAAATATTAATACGATTACCAGTTTAAGAGATTTAGCTTGAACTAATTAGAGAGTCAGCACGGAATCCAACTTACTTGAAATTATTTTTGTTAATTTTGAATTAAAACTCCGCTTGCGAGCATCCAAGCTCCACCTACATTTTATAGGAATATTTGCGTCCCTACCACTCCATTCTTTTGTATATTTACATATCAAACTCCCGAACTTCAATATTTACATACATACCACTTTCTATGCGTGAAAAAAAGTATAAATTTCACTTAAAGTGGTGATATTTTTGATATGGCATGAAAGATTTGGATGGTGTAAATATAGAAACCAAAATTTAGATGTTAGATATGTAAAAACATAGGAATTGGGTGACATGCATGTAAATGCGCCTATTTTATAATTCACATTCTCATGATACAACGACATATTTGTAAGCATATATTATCATTGCAATAAGAATAACTATACATATTTGTTGATATAATATATATTACACAGGATGAGAAGCATAAACATCGAAGGGATATACTGAAGGAGCAAGTGAGGGGTTTGATTGGCAAACAACGTGATCTTATCGAACAACTTGAACTGGTGGATGCTCTATGCCAATTAGGACTTCAATATCATTTTGATTCAGAAATCAAGGACTTATTGAGTTCTATTAGTTCATCAACGATAAATATAAACAATTTGATAGCGAATGGCAACTTTCATGGCTCTGCCTTGCTCTTCAGGCTTCTAAGAGAATATGATATCAATGATGCTTCACTACTAAGGTATCTACTAACACAAACATATATCATCTTTTTATTTAAGAGTTATTTAATTCAATGTCAATAAAAAATAAAGAGTTATGAATTAATCAAGGTACTCTTTGATTCTTTTGGTGTAAGAGTTCTTAGGTTCAATTTTAGCCCATGAACTTTTTTAAATTAAGTTTTGATTTTCTTCCTATATATAGTTTTGTTTATAGTTTTGGTTTTATCCCCCCCTATAATTGACAGGCTTGGTGCTTATTCCAAGTGGCCTAGTGCACGACTTTCATGTATAAAATATTTATCTTATATTTAAGAGAATAAGTTCAATATAAGTCTAATTATTAAGTTACATAAAGATACATCATTTTAAAGATAATTATCAAGTGCATTATGTTTGATTTTATTCTAATGTCGAAGAATTCCTTACAATTTAGACTGACTTTAACAATTTCTTACTGATTTTAACAATTTCTTCGAGAGATTGTAAGAGTGGAGGGAAAGTGAGAGATTTCTTTCTCCTTGCTGCTTCGAAGAGGAATTCTGTGTCCTGAAAAGAAAGGAAGAGATTCAGAGAAACTTCGATTAGTTTTGTTAGGGAGAAATTAGAGATAAGTTTGTTTATTATTGTAGTTTGTATGACTTTGATTTTATATATGAATTCCGAGTTCTGTTGTGTTTTCTCCATGAGATCAGAATAGTTTTCTCTATCTTTCCCCTTGTCTTGAGATTTGTGAAATGGTGATTTGAATTGGTGAAGCCATGAAAATGTTTAAAAAATTGTGATGATCTTTTCACTTAAATCTTAATTTATTTTCAATCTGTTCAATTGATTTGTTAAAATATGTTGAGTTTTCCAACTAAAGTGAAGATTACATCCAAGATTCAGGGAGGTCAAAGTCCTTGGAAGTTGGGTGCAAATAAATAGGGAAATAATATTATCGGGCGTAGAATTGGAGATTTTAGAGTGACATACTAAAATCCCCAATTCGGTCCTATTGTTTGGGTGTTGAAGCGTAGATGTTAGCTCTCAGGCGAGGGGAACGTGGGAGCTCTGAAGTGAGAGTCGGTATCCTCCCAGCCTAACCACAGATTCAGTAAACAAGCATAATATTAGTCAATGTTCTTTGTGTCTGAACCAAAGGGTAAAGAATAGATATGCTCCTATTTGACACAATATAATTTGAACTAATTCACTTTATCCATTCACTATAATTTCTTGATAAGGAGAATGATGCTTTCTTATATATTGAATATTACATTTGAAACTTCATTAGTATATTTAGTTATTTAATAGTTATTAAAATTACATATTTATTTCAATTGCATATTAGTGACAGATAAGAAAATTGAACTTCGTTGTTGTGATTAAAGTATTATTTTTTTAAGGTCTTAGTTCGTAGTTCAAATCTTACTCCCTGTGGGATCGATATCTGGGACTCCATTAGAACCCTATATTACTTGAGTGATACGTATACTTGCGTTGATAAGTGTGACTTTACAATTATTGAATATTTATTACGTCCATATTTATCTTATATTTTTAAGCATATATAAAGTCGCGGTCAGATGTCCCTCGCCCTAAGCGTGAAAGAGGTTGATCGTCTTGCAGTGATAGGGAAGCCAATTGAAATACATTTATATTTAGCCAATCGATTGATCGTGCTATTGGAAATTGAGAAACACCTAGATCCATGTAATTAAGGGTCTCGATGGCATAACTGGTGCAAGCTATTCAGTTTAAAGAATGCTTCTGAAAGGCCTCGCTGATGAAAACTGAAGTCTTCCTTCGGAACACCAACAAGTATTATATGTTTCACAAAGATCATGTCCACGATACATAGGAGCGTAGACACATCCGAAGTTTAGTTGAAAAACCGATACGGGCTGTGAAGCTCAAAGAGTTTGTGGCCCTTGAAGCACACACACAACAGCAGGGGAAGGTACCTGAGGAAAATTATTCAGATGGACCTATCTAAGCCAATGTTATCCACATTGTGGGGATATTGCCAACAATAATGGTAGGAGACTCAATCAGAAGACTCGATCAAAAGAGGAACCGATCGAGAGACTATGTTGTTGCATATATCTCAAAGAGGAAGTCCCATTCTCCAATCATTTTTACTGACACTGACTTATATTAAGGTGGGTCACCTTATTCCAAGGTTATAACAAATAAAATATTACTCAAGATCTATTCAAATCATATCAACATATAAAATCAACATATCATCATATTAAGGTGGGTCACCTTATTCCAAGGTTATAACAAATAAAATATTACTCAAGATCTATTCAAATCATATCAACATATAAAATCAACATATCATCATATTAAGGTGGGTCACCTTATTCCAAGGTTATAACAAATAAAATATTACTCAAGATCTATTCAAATCATATCAACATATAAAATCAACATATCATCATATTAAGGTGGGTCACCTTATTCCAAGGTTATAACAAATAAAATATTACTCAAGATCTATTCAAATCATATCAACATATAAAATCAACATATCATCATATTAAGGTGGGTCACCTTATTCCAAGGTTATAACAAATAAAATATTACTCAAGATCTATTCAAATCATATCAACATATAAAATCAACATATCATCATATTAAGGTGGGTCACCTTATTCCAAGGTTATAACAAATAAAATATTACTCAAGATCTATTCAAATCATATCAACATATAAAATCAACATATCATCATATTAAGGTGGGTCACCTTATTCCAAGGTTATAACAAATAAAATATTACTCAAGATCTATTCAAATCATATCAACATATAAAATCAACATATCATCATATTAAGGTGGGTCACCTTATTCCAAGGTTATAACAAATAAAATATTACTCAAGATCTATTCAAATCATATCAACATATAAAATCAACATATCATCATATTAAGGTGGGTCACCTTATTCCAAGGTTATAACAAATAAAATATTACTCAAGATCTATTCAAATCATATCAACATATAAAATCAACATATCATCATATTAAGGTGGGTCACCTTATTCCAAGGTTATAACAAATAAAATATTACTCAAGATCTATTCAAATCATATCAACATATAAAATCAACATATCATCATATTAAGGTGGGTCACCTTATTCCAAGGTTATAACAAATAAAATATTACTCAAGATCTATTCAAATCATATCAACATATAAAATCAACATATCATCATATTAAGGTGGGTCACCTTATTCCAAGGTTATAACAAATAAAATATTACTCAAGATCTATTCAAATCATATCAACATATAAAATCAACATATCATCATATTAAGGTGGGTCACCTTATTCCAAGGTTATAACAAATAAAATATTACTCAAGATCTATTCAAATCATATCAACATATAAAATCAACATATCATCATATTAAGGTGGGTCACCTTATTCCAAGGTTATAACAAATAAAATATTACTCAAGATCTATTCAAATCATATCAACATATAAAATCAACATATCATCATATTAAGGTGGGTCACCTTATTCCAAGGTTATAACAAATAAAATATTACTCAAGATCTATTCAAATCATATCAACATATAAAATCAACATATCATCATATTAAGGTGGGTCACCTTATTCCAAGGTTATAACAAATAAAATATTACTCAAGATCTATTCAAATCATATCAACATATAAAATCAACATATCATCATATTAAGGTGGGTCACCTTATTCCAAGGTTATAACAAATAAAATATTACTCAAGATCTATTCAAATCATATCAACATATAAAATCAACATATCATCATATTAAGGTGGGTCACCTTATTCCAAGGTTATAACAAATAAAATATTACTCAAGATCTATTCAAATCATATCAACATATAAAATCAACATATCATCATATTAAGGTGGGTCACCTTATTCCAAGGTTATAACAAATAAAATATTACTCAAGATCTATTCAAATCATATCAACATATAAAATCAACATATCATCATATTAAGGTGGGTCACCTTATTCCAAGGTTATAACAAATAAAATATTACTCAAGATCTATTCAAATCATATCAACATATAAAATCAACATATCATCATATTAAGGTGGGTCACCTTATTCCAAGGTTATAACAAATAAAATATTACTCAAGATCTATTCAAATCATATCAACATATAAAATCAACATATCATCATATTAAGGTGGGTCACCTTATTCCAAGGTTATAACAAATAAAATATTACTCAAGATCTATTCAAATCATATCAACATATAAAATCAACATATCATCATATTAAGGTGGGTCACCTTATTCCAAGGTTATAACAAATAAAATATTACTCAAGATCTATTCAAATCATATCAACATATAAAATCAACATATCATCATATTAAGGTGGGTCACCTTATTCCAAGGTTATAACAAATAAAATATTACTCAAGATCTATTCAAATCATATCAACATATAAAATCAACATATCATCATATTAAGGTGGGTCACCTTATTCCAAGGTTATAACAAATAAAATATTACTCAAGATCTATTCAAATCATATCAACATATAAAATCAACATATCATCATATTAAGGTGGGTCACCTTATTCCAAGGTTATAACAAATAAAATATTACTCAAGATCTATTCAAATCATATCAACATATAAAATCAACATATCATCATATTAAGGTGGGTCACCTTATTCCAAGGTTATAACAAATAAAATATTACTCAAGATCTATTCAAATCATATCAACATATAAAATCAACATATCATCATATTAAGGTGGGTCACCTTATTCCAAGGTTATAACAAATAAAATATTACTCAAGATCTATTCAAATCATATCAACATATAAAATCAACATATCATCATATTAAGGTGGGTCACCTTATTCCAAGGTTATAACAAATAAAATATTACTCAAGATCTATTCAAATCATATCAACATATAAAATCAACATATCATCATATTAAGGTGGGTCACCTTATTCCAAGGTTATAACAAATAAAATATTACTCAAGATCTATTCAAATCATA